AGCGTTACTTCACAACCTGGCTTTTTTTACGTTAAACTGCTTTCAGCAAAAGATCCTGTCATGTTTACGAGTCGCAATTCTCGACGTAAGGTGCCAGCAGCGCATTCCAAATGGGTACCACTTAAGCGAACGCAAAGTGAGTTTTCTGGCTTTTCAGGGTGAAAATCTCAGTGTTGTTCAGGTATTTTGCTGTTTCCCGCCCTTGATACTTTTGGTAGTTTTCTCACCTCCCCTTTATTTGACGTCCTTCATACGGGCTCTTTTTTTGGAGATCCTTACATCTCTGCACTCTTTTTACTGTCCGCTTAATATCACGCCGCTACCAATTTGCTGATTAGAGGAGGCTTAAAAAAAGGCCCCCGGGCCTGAATTCTTGGCCGATCAGGAGAATAAATGTGGTTCCCTGTAGCAATTTCGCATACGGAGCGTGAATTAAGATCGAAACTGGTGTCGAAGTAGGTATCAGCAGGTGTAACACCAAATTTTCTGCGCAAAATCGTTGGCTGAGGTGACAGCGCTTCTCACCAATTGTTCCGAAATAGGAGCAAAACTTGACTGGCCTACCTTAATTTTTGATTGTCTTCATGCTTCGTATGATTAGTTCATCTATTATATCTAGTAAAAATTATCTTACTAACATTTCTACGCCATTTCAAGGCTGCGTTACTGGTATTACAGGTACCGGAAGAGCGGAATATCCAACAACAGTTCCACAGCAACACGTTGAACAACAACAAAAACAACAACAGCAGCAGCAACAGCAACAGCCAACGGATTATTCACAGAAATATGTTGAGCCCCTCCGGGTTACCGTAAGGAACGATAATGCAAGCAGTTTGCCAGCCTGGATGATCGAACAGCAACAGCAGAATGCGGCAACAAGCAGCAGCAGGATTTCCCCATCAATGGATCATTCACCGTGTACCGGGTATTTGGCAACTTTTTTTGGGGGAGGGGTTGGGGGGCTTTAGAAATTTCACAGTTTGGAGGGATTGTTTGAACCTTTTTTGTGGTAGCTGTGCAAAATTGGTACTAGCTATGTAGAATGGTACTCCCCCGAAACTGTCCTATACGTTCGCGTGGGGACCTTATTATGTTGTGGTCAAGAAACGCTTTCCCGAGTTAGCACTTTTCCCGGTAAGATTTTCACGTACGTGAGCCCCGGGCAGTCCTGAGGAGCTGAGTTTGAAAACTTTTGGTCGTATTTGAGTAGGGGAAATTCCACCAAAGTTTCAGCTTTCTAGCTTTTCCCGTTCCTGAAGTTGATTGTGATTATTTTAGTGCTCTTGTGCAGTGTGAGTTATAAGAGCACCTCATTCTTGCTGCTCAAGTACATCAGTTTACATTATGATGGTCAGTAAAACGTAGAAGTCAAAAGTCAAAACCTCCTCCATATGTGCTATCAATCTCAAGCGATGACATTTGGGAAGTAGCTTGAATGATAGCAAATTCGAACGGGCAACCTCTGCCTTACTGTATGACAGCAGTTTTACTGCCCAGTTAGCCATAACTTGATGCATGACTTAATGGACCGAAACAATTCTTACCATTATAATAATCTCAGAAATTTCCTGATTTTCATCCCTTCTTACCTTTTATAGCAGCATTCTGTCTGAAAGTAAAATTTATAAATTTTATTTATTATGCAAATACACACTGATTGTTTGCATATATGAATGTAGTATATGTGTAGGTGTTCAAGAATATTAAAACTTCCCGGATAGTCAGTGAAAGTTTTTCATGTTACTGGTGCTACTGGGGATTTTCCCGCACGCAAGAAAGCGTTGTACACTTTGAACTACATGCCTCCACTTAGTACCCCTGTTATCGTTTTGATATATAACTTAATGGACCGAAACACTTCTTAACATTATTAATACTTCATACCATCGTTTTGTTATATGACTTAATGGACCGAAGCAGTTCTTACCATCGTTTTGATATATGACTTAATGGACCGAAACACTTTTATATTTCTTTTCAGAGACTCTCAAATGATTCTCCAGTGCTGTAGAAAAATTTGTTTTCAATGCAAAATTTAAGATTTGTCGAGATCCTGCATCGTCTTCGAATGAAAGTGGAAGCAAGTAAAATGGCAAAAGAGAATTTGGTGGATAACTAC